TTTAGCCTGGATCCAATCCAAAATCATAGGCTCTGTAGTTCCTGATGGTTTACTGCAATGGGTTTCAGCCTATGGACCATAAACCACTAGTAAAAGTGAGAATATTTTAAATGTATTAATTATTATGTATGACATAAATATTTGTTTAAATGGCCCAAATTACCCAAGAAAACCAAAGTTCATATCTGGCACTGTTAAGAACATAATGTAAGCTACTGGATAGGACTCTTGGCTCATCTAGTCCAGCAGTCTGTTCTCACAGTAGCCAACCAACTGCGCAAAGAAGCCCGCTAGAACCCCAGCAGATAGGGAGTCTTGTCTTCTCCTGGCTAAACCTATCCCAACATTTCCAACTATTCCTCCTAAGTTTTTTTCTTTTAGGTTAGGACATCATTCTATTTGTTCTCCTCAGGTCATTCCCACCTACAAGTATTTCTGCCACACTACTCTAAAACCCATTTTTTTGGAAACACAAGATAATGATATTTACTACAACATCAAAATCATAACAGAACTGGACTGTGATTCCTAGAAACATAAAAATATCCATGTTACAAATTGTAATCAAACTAGTTACAGTATAATTAAGCTGGAATGCTATGGTTTTTATTAGGTAGCCTTTGTATTTGCTTGTGTTCTAGTCATTTATAGTAGGGTTGTGCAAAATCTTAGAAAGAGGTGAATTGCAACACACACTTTTTTTCAAATTATGAAAGCAGCCACATCTTTCTCCTGGCTAGTAGGACTGCTTCATAAGCAGTTTGCAGATGCCTCTATGTAAGGCTGTTTTAACAATTCAAAAATGTACTTCTATGTGTTGTGATGTATCTATTTTGAAGGATTAGCAATTAGGGAATGGAACAACAAGATATCTACAGTATTTTTAGCTGTGTCACTTTACAATATCAAATGACTGGAATTTGAAGTCCCAATAAAATCATAGAAAGTCAAGGAGCCAAGGTAAGCTGTTTACAGACATAATTGAATTATATTTAAGAAAGATTAATTATTATAATGCTTGTATCATATTAATTAAAGTCATTAGAATGATTTTTTTACATTGTGCTAATCCCGGTTTAACTCAGCAGAAATGCTAAACTGGGGCTTCCAAGACACACAGGCTTTAAAAGTCTGCATTTTTCAATGGTTGAATAAATCAATGTATTTAATTTAAAGCGGTACACTCCATCAATTAATATGTAACCATGAGATTGATTCAATCTCTTTTTCATACATATTGTCTTTTATTAGTCTATGACAGAGGTCCCCAACCTTTCCAGTTTGGCGACCCAGAGAGAAAGGGAGGAGCAGGAAAATTTGCATGCGCCCCTGCACGCATGCACAAAAGGTCACATGCACTGTGGCAGCACTAGTGCCTGTGCACATGCAAAGCCGTGTGTACCATGGTAGCACAAGTGCCCACATGCATGCGCAAACGGAGCCACGCGCATCCATGGTGGTGGTAGCCCTAGTGCCTGCGCACATGCTCAAATGGGCCACTAGAGCCTGCACGATGTTGGTGGCAGCAATAGCGCCTGCATGCATTGGCAAACGGGGCCGCTAGCGCTCACATAGCGGCTAGCCCCCTCTCAACGGGGCTAGTGTGAGTGGGGGGAGTGTGCACACATGTGCACGCACTCGCCAGCCATTCCCGCGCCCCGATGGCCAACAGGCCATGGACTGGTACTGGGCCACGGCCCACAGGTTGGGGACCCCTGGTCTATGATTTCAAAATACAGGGAAGAAAAAAATCATGAGAAAAAACATAGGATACAGTATGTAAACTAAAACAGGGGGATTGCTCTTGCTTGTGAGTAAAGCAATTTTACCTATATAAAGACTAGAACTAAGAAAAGAGGGAGGGCAGAATGGCTTCAAGAGAAGATTTTCTGCAGCAATGACTTTGGCCTTTTCTACTGCAACCTTTTCAATTTCCTCACTCCTTCCATTAGTGGGTAGCCATAAACTTTAAACAATGAAATATTTTGTTTTCTCTATAAAAATCCATTAAGAAAATAAAAAAACAGAATTCAAATATGAGCCTTCTAGCTGGGAGAAACTGGAATTCACTGTATATATTATAATATAACTGGAGAGCATACATTTTTTTTACAGCAAGTGAAATCAAGAACGTAAGAAAAATATTGAAACTTATTTAAAAACAGAAGAAACAGAAATGTCTGCATCATAGATTTGTAAACTAATTCTGAATTAGGAAATTAGAAAAAGCAGCCTATTGTAGTATCTTCTTGCAAACATTCTCCCCAAAACAACAATTTTATGATTTGATTTATAGTTGTACTCTGTTATTTTAGTCTCAGTGTTTGCATTACACTTCTAACTGATATAGCAGTTTTATCTTAAAATGAGCACAATCCACTTCCAATTATTTCTTTGTACACAGGAAAGGGTTTTGATATACTTAAAACTACTCAATATTTTCAGAAGTACTTTGAGGTTTTGAAACTTGGATAAGTATATGTGTCCCTCAATTATTATTTAACACTCATAGTGTTATTTTCTTATTTTCTTTACTGTGGCTTTCTAAATAAACATAGACTGAGATTATGCAACATTCTAAGCTGCCTCAAACTATATTGTATTGACATGATAAATAAACAAGTTATTCTCAATTCCTATTATGTATTTAGAGCTGCCTTATGCTATTAGGAATATCTGTATATGTTAAAAATATTAGTTTAGACAAGGCTGATTTTATGGTCAGATATTATTTTATGTCTTTTAGATACTTTGGAAATTTATGTCCCTAAGTTCTTTAATATATAAATTTAGGGCTTTTATAAAATAAACAGTTTAGATTGGATGCCACTGGATTCTAACAAAACTAATGAAGTAATAAAGACTTGGAAGGGTTAGTAGTATCTAGAATATTTTTTTTATCCTACGTAAGAGCCCCTAAAGAATTTTCAAATATGCTTAATTCAATTTTATCCCACCTTGTGTATACTATATATAAAACATGATTTAAACAGACTTTCATTCCAAATTTTTTTCACTTATGTTCAGTCATGTTTGATTTTTCAGAGACTACCTCCACAAGTTCTTGCAGTTTTCTTGGCAAGGTTTTTCAGAATTGGTTTACCATTGCCTCCTTTCTAAGGTTCAAAGACAGAGGCTGGCCCAAAGTTACCCAGTAGGATTTTTGCCTAAGGCAGAATTAAAACTCAGTCTCCCAGTTTCTAGCCTGATGCCTTAACCACTACACCAAATGTCTCTCGCATAATAAATACAACTGGTAATTCTATATTTTAAGGTATTACAAAACCTTGTAAACCATTCAATAATTTTTTCTTGATCCAGAAATTAAGAATTTAATTACAAAAAATTGTAATGATTTACAGTACAAGGAAATGTGGATTTAATTTTTCACATTTCCAGTGAGAGTAGAACTTTGCTTTTTTATAAAAATCAATAACTTTATAGAAAGCTAAAGAAAGTTTTTTAATAGAAAGAAAAATAGCTTAAATTCAATTCACTTCTGGGCTTAACTTCAGAATTGTTTGATTGTGGAAATCTATGCAAATATGAAGATCTTTTTTTAAAACAGCACTTAATTTTCCTATATATTTTGCAGAATATATATGGAATGAAAGGTACTGATTCCTTCATTAATGAAAAATATATATTGAGGGAGAACCTTATGTTTAAAACAACTGATCAATTTGTTTTTTGAGCATCCATTAATATAACTGTTAGTCTTTTTTGTACTGCTGATTTTTCTTTAGTGAGATTATTTGAAGTTATAAGCTTATGTTATTTAAGCTTTCAGAACCTAATGTGGGAAAGCTAAAGATGGCTGTATATAATATTAATATGAATAAATGAAGCAGAACCCTTCCCTTCCCCTTCAAATCTTTCCAACAGGTTCCTCAACCCAACAGAGCAGTCTGAAGCATGTTTGAGAGAAATCGATTCCACTGGTAGATATCACAGACAAATATGCTCTCTCTTATGGAGTATCCAAAGTATTACAAATCTCTTAATCTAGACAAAAGTTCTCTCTTTTGAGAGGTTATGATTTTGGCTTTGAAACTGAAGATTGGGCTCTTGCCCAATTCATGTAGCATCACATGAGGCCTACCTGATGCCAGTTTTCTATTGGCAATAAAAGTGGCCTTGAAAGNAGAACAGGAAACGTTGTATAAGATACCCCTTAAGGTACAGATATGTCTATGATAATTTTCCTCAATCACTTTGTTTGTAATATATTTGATGTATGTTATTGTAAGCTGCTAAAGTAATGTATGGGAGGCTATATAAAAAAGGAAGGAAGGAAGGAAGGAAGGAAGGAAGGAAGGAAGGAAGGAAGGAAGGAAGGAAGGAAGGAAGGAAGGAAGGATATTGAGAGATACGAAAGTTTTCTAGTGGATCACTGGCCACCTAGTTCAAACTCTGTTCCTAAGATAAGAAAGTCAGGTGCTACTGAGAATTTCACAGAAGTGGCATGATAAAAACACTGTTATATACTGAATACACACTGGGGAACATATTTGTTTGAAGACCTAGAATACATTGTTTATGTATAGTATAAGGGATAAATGACCTCTAAATCATCCTTCCCAAATGAATGTCCTTCAGACAATTTCTATAATTGAGGAATTATAGAACTATAGAAGTAAAAATCTTTTGCACTGTGAGTGTACCATTTCGGAAATACTCTTAAATAAATGTTATGCTCTTTTTAAAACAATTCATACACTATGTTCTATGGTAAAAAAAAATGCTGATTGTAAGGGTTTTGGAGTATGTTTACATTTCCCAATATCATCTAGTTATTGTACAATAAATATTGAAGCCTGCGAGATTGACAGAGCAATTGAAATAAAAGATTATTACCCATTTCCCCAACAAGTTTCTTCTTTCTTCAAATACCTATAAAGAAATAAAACTAATTTTAAAATTACTTTTTGTAAGACTCAATAAGAAATGACTCATTACATTATCAGAAACAATTAAGTAAATTAAGCTGTCAGAAGAACATGATAAAAGAGGCAATTCTAATTTAAGAAATAATCAGAATCCTGTCTGCATCAGAAGACTTGTACAATACAATTTTTGGTGTTTTTATGTTTGAGTTTACACAAGTTCCACTTTTCTTGTTAAATACTTTAAAAAATGATGTCCCAAATCCATCTTATCCCACCTCCTGGACCTAGAGTCCATCAAGTCCATCATCCCTAGCTAATCAGATGGTACTCCAATGCCCACAATTAGGGTATAATGATAGCAGGTCTCCCACACGGAATCTTCAGCAGCAACTAACATTTAAAGATGCATCAATATGGACAAAGGGATACCATACTATTACATGGCTATTTATAGACTGTGAATCTGCCTAAACTTTGTATATAGGCAATATACATTTAAAATGTCTAAAAATCAATTTGAAGTTTATACAATATTGTAGTAATTAGAATTTCCAGTATGTCCTCAGTGGACAAAATGGTTTTATAAGTCCAGAAAAATGAAGAGGGAGAAATGATACATGGAAAAATGTGGTTAAGGTATGTTCAACCATGCCTGGTAAGAAACTTAGATGGAACAGAGAATCTCCTCACCTACAGATTTATTTATTCATTTATTCAATTTGTATGACTTCCCATCTCACCTAAGGATGTCTGGGATGTTCACAACAGGTAAAAACAACATCTTAAAAAACAAGTTAAAAACTAATATGCAAACATTTAAAACCACCAGTAACCACTTTTAAACAAGAAGATTAATTTCATTAGATTTAGAAGTGGTCAATATTGTGAAAAGTGTTTTCCTAGAGCTTGCTGGAAGAGATAACAAACAAAAATCCAGCTATTGAGAGTTCAAAACTCTTTTCAATGTTTGACATACCCGGTATTGTATGTAGAAAGTAGATTAACTAGGTAGTTATTTAAATTTTGTTAACAATTAAAACACAATTTTAAAAACACAGATGGCAGCATCTACTTGACCTTGCCTGATTTCAAAGAGCTAAACAGAGCTAGACATGGTTAGGAGGTGGATGAGAGACCATCAGGAAATCCTACAGCTATAAGTTAAATTAGGAAGTTAAAAAAATGCAGCAAGTCAGCTAACGCAATTAGTACCAGCGACTTTGTTGTTAAGAGAAGTGATTGCTAAGTGAAACTAAGACTGCTTATGATCTTACTTTAGCTTTTCTTTGCTTTAGACAAGCAAAGGTCATAAATGCAAGGATTGGCTGCCAAGCTACTTTTTCATCACTATCATAATTGCTAACAGTCACTGTACAAGGCAGCCATTAAAGAGAACTGCTCTTATGATGGAAATTGGGACTGGATTGCTAAGCACTATGATCAAAAAGCATAACATCACATGAGCACATTATTTAGTGATGGGAATCCTAGGACCTCCTGGTTGCTTTTGTAACCCCAAGATACACAGGAAGACACAGGAGTCCCAGGTAAGGAGTGCAGGCATGCTACAGGGGCTGGAGACCTTGGGCAGAGCCAGTCCTGGCCAAAAGTGAATTGAAGGAGGGCTGACATAGGCTGTGTGTGGGTGGGGAGGGGGTACTGTGGTGGTAAACAATGAGGGATGTTTATGGAGATTCTCAGTCATCCAGGTCATGGTTGTCCCAAAGGTGTTTTTTCTTTTTTTTTTTTTTTTTTTTAAATTTTTTATTTATAATACAATTAAAACAAAAATGGACATACGTGGCATTCCAGAGTAAATATTCCTAACAATTTGTTTCTCATGATACAAAAACTTAATACATCATCTTTAACCTCTATATACACCTCATTCTTCTACATAATACAATTATATATACAATTATATATACAATTATGTGTATGCTTCAATCCTATCGTTAGCTTAAGATCCGAGCAGTTCTCCTTGATTCATACCAGCGATAGAATTTGTCCCAGATTTCGAAATATTCCAGTTCTGTCTTA